TATAAACAAAATTGTATTTATTTTACCATCACAATGGAGCCTAATTTGAAATTGAAATGAGTGTTTGAGGAATGGAGCCTGCAAAGATTTTCTATGTATCCTCGTATAACAGGTACGATAACTTATCAGAACATTCATGAAATGAAAATCCGTTGAAAGAAACATTTCCTTTCCACTAGACTACGAGGTATTAAATAAAGCCATGAAAATTTCATAACTGATAAAGACTGAAATAGTTGAAAGAATACTTTATAACATAAAGGGAAAGCCACAAGGGTATGAATTCAGTCATTTTCTGGTAGATGCATGTGTGGACTTATATGTTTAATATGTACTTTCATGTGTATTTTAATGTATACGGTGTTTTTTAATGAAAAAGCAATGAGATCAATTCAGGAAATCTGCACTTGCCCTTGTCCTTGTTTTACTGAAGGATTTTGAACAGACTGGTGGGAAAAAGCAAGATTACTCTATGTCAGTAGAAAATTAACGTCAGTTAATTAATTAAGTGCTAGTTGAGCTAACTCTTATCTGGTGTGTATCCACATGGGTAGTGCTTTTATGTGAGATTACATACTAATTCCTAAACTATACCATAACCTTGATTCAGTTTACTCTTAGCTGCAGTATTGTGTTGCTGTAAATCATTTCACTTCAGCCTGTTGTGCACACAGGCTGAGAAACAAGAACTGACACTTTATTGTTGGCCATCAGTTATGTATCTGAATTGCTAAGTGATAAATAGAAAACCTGTTAAAGTTGGGACTAAGTGTTGTAACCTTTTTTTAACTCTCCTGTAACCGTGTTATAGCAGCGTTGGGCTGCAGAACGCGTGCCTGGATAGTCGTTCAGAGTGACACAAGGTTTAGATTGTCTGTAATCTGCTAGGAGTACTGGAGCCAGCTGATGCACTCCAGAGAGAGGATGATCCAGTCTCTGAGGACTGGCCGCTGCATCTGAGATGCACAGATTCATCTGCTGCTGGCAGGGCTTCATACCCCAATCTGCTGCCTGCATCTTCCCAGATGTGAATTCCTCTCCACTGTAATTGTGATATGGGCCACAGGAAAGGCAGCCAGTAGTGAGGCTTACATTTGCATGCCACAAATTCCTTCCCACACCAATATATTCAGTTAAGTTTTAACATAGGTGCTTTTGGAAAAAAAAAAAAACTCAGAAGAAAGTTCACAAGCTTTGGGCAGAACAGTAGCTTTTTATAACAACTTTGTGAAAGTTTCTAGACTTTAGAGTGCTGTGACTGCAAGTGCAAAACATTTCTGTGCCCTTTTGAACAGTTCATGGTGTGGATTAAACCATGATGGCCAGGGGAAGAAATGAATGTTTTGCCTGTCTTACAATAAACTGAATCTCCTAGCTAGGTCCTGTAAGTTCCCAGTGAGCTTATTGATAGTATTCAACGAGGAGCAGTGATTTTGTGTGTTTTGATGATTTTTAAAGTGAATCCAGAGATGCCCATTTGAAGTTTGCAAATTGCATAAAATGCAATATTCCTTTCTTCAAGGAAATTCCTGACAAGGAAAAGCTCTGTACTGATGTATCCAGCTGCATCCTGGCCCATGGTTGCAGCAGTTGAGATCATCAATATTTTTTGCAGAATCAGGTGTCACTCCTTTCCTGCTTGGTCCATTGGGAAAGAATCTTGTCTCTTCCCCCCACTCAGTCCATTCTCTGATCTCAGTTCAGTATACAGCTTTTTAATCTCTCCCCCAGATCTTCTAGGCCCAGCACAAGATACAGTGGAGCAGACAGCTACCCACAACGCAGGACAGAATTTGAAACATTGATTTCTGTAGAGTTATTACTCTATGTATGCCAGTGTAAGCAAGTTCAGATACCCAGTCACATGTATAAATCATCCGTGTGCACTCCCAGTGTGGCAGCTGGTCAAATTAGAAATACACAGTTCATGCATGTTACTAAATATTGATATTTTTTTTTCTTTGTTAATGATCATTATGAAACAGCTCTTAAGTGAGGCAAAACACTTTCTTGCTAAGCTTGTCTTTGTTCTTCTAGACATAGTTCAAACCTAAATCTTCATCATAAGCTTCTGACTAAAGATACACTGGAATTCAACAACCATTTCAATGCAACATACCTCTTGAAAGACATGGCTAAGGAGTTTTGTCAAGATGTCTCTTTAAAACAACATGTTGAACATACTTCTGTAATCTTCAAAGGAATGAACAGAACAGGCAGCTTGGTTTTTCCAATGAGCAAAATTAGAGAACCCTGTTCTGAGAGTTACGGATACGATCCATTGAATGATGGAACCGTTCTGGATCTAAGCACTACTTCCAGCATTAAATCTGAGAGCAGTGCTCACTCTTCTTGGGATTCTGACGGAGGAAGTGAAATATGCACCATGCCCTTGGATGATAGTGACGAAAGCTGTGAAGGACCCAGCCTAATGCCCAATGATGAACTCTACCAAGACTGTACTTTAATTGAGAAAGCTAATCAAAACTTTGCAAATTTACCTTCCAGTTTGCCAATAACTTGTCATATATGTCAAAAAACTTATAGTAATAAAGGAACTTTCAGGGCTCATTACAAAACTGTGCACCTCCGCCAGCTCCACAAATGTAAAATCCCCGGTTGCAACACAATGTTTTCATCTGTTCGCAGTCGGAACAGGCACAGTCAAAACCCGAACCTGCACAAAAGTCTGGCTGGGTCACCAACTAGCCTACAGTAAGATCATGCTGATCTTAATTTATTTCTGCTAGGAATCAATCATTTCAATTAAGGATTGTGTTAACATTAATTTTATTTAAACTCGTTTGACTTCTAGCCCATTCCGCAACCACAGTCAAATTCTTTTCTCCTGTGTGTGCTCTCCAGCGGTTTCATTTAGCAAAGCTTGGTGCTGTAGTTTTTGTGCAATTGTTTGGTTTGACGTTAAATAGCTAAAGCTTCTGTAAGGAAAAGAAAGCATCTTAGAAATGGGGGAAATATGGAGACTTTAGTTAAAGTATTTCTGATGCCTGTGAAGTATTACTTGCCAACAATAAGAGCTTCAAATGAGAACCATCATCCCTTGTGTTTACATGTTGAATGGTTGTGTTGTATAATACATGACTAACAACTGGGGTGAGTTTCCTCCGGTTGGATTGAGAGTTTTGGGGCAGCCATTTCTTTCCTGAGACCATAGTCTGAAGCTGACGTGCAGTATTAGTTGAACGTGGTATTTGCAGTTTACTACATCCCAAAATCCAAAAACTAATATACAAATTTTGGAAGACTTTGCATATAGTCTAAATCATCTGAAAATTCTGTGGTCCTTACACTCTGAGTTGGCATTTTCCTTGAATAAAGATTGCAGTATTTTGGCTTGCTTAGAATTTAATACCATTTTCTTTGCAAAAGCAGGGGCTACATAACTTGGCATAGTTGCCTGAATAAATGAGACATTCTGATAAATTGTAGTAATAGAAAGAATGAATAGGTTAAGCTAAAATTTCTAAACCACAGCAAATGCATCCATAAAATAGGGGAGAAGTAAATCCTTTAATTTAAAATGCACTTTTTGAGTTCCACTTTCAGGAAGAGAAAAGATTATGTTAAAAATGGGGGGGAGTGGGGGGGGGATAAGAAAAAAGGAAGAAAAAATCCCCAACCAAACTGCTTAAGGGTTTGAAGGTGCCATTCAGGTGTCTTTGAGAGACAGAGATAAAATAGTTGCAGTAGGTATCTTTCATGATTCAGCAATTATTGTTTCTCTTACTGGTAGGGGAAAAAACTTGTTGATCTTTGTAACAATAGAAGAATGCTTATTCTCATTCACACCTTTTGTTATGAGAACATTGTTCAATATCTGTTAAAATGTCTAATATCTTTGTATTTGTCCCTGTAATTAACAGTATTCTGCATTGTGTTCTATGCACTTAAGAAGACTGGTCTTACATTGTATTTAAAAAACACTTAAATATTTAATTTGTAGTCACATCATACAAATGCAGTGTGTGTACTTGTGGTGCATAATCTTTGACTGAATCATTTCCAAAAAGAAATAAGAAAGCACGTCTTACAGTACCTTATTTTTTTTTACTTTAATTCACCAGTTGAAATCTGTTGATCAATTCTAGTATGCAAGCATGATATTGACAGCACAATCTGTACATACCAAAGCGCTTACAGTATTTGTGGTTTCTAGAACTAGTCTAGTTTTCCAGTATAACTGGATCTTAGTCTTTATTCATTTTTTGTGACTGAATAAAAATAGATTGAATTTCTGGATTTCATATGTGTGTAGAAAGAATAGTACAATGCTATTGCCATATGTCTTGATGTTTAACTTATTCTAAAAAATACGATGGTATTGTAACCATTTCATATTGTATAAAAGAAACAAAAGTGGACTGAATATTTCACTAATTCTTTTGAAAACTGGTTTGTGTGTGAGTATGGGTTATGCAAGAGAAAAACACGACACAGTTGTAAATGTTTGTGCTCACTTGAAATGGTTTCCATGCATTGTGTAAAGTAATCTTCTATTTTTTTAATTTACAGTAGGTTTATGTGATATTTAAAATAATCCATTTGTGCTTGAAGCTGTCAGGAAAAAAATATTAGCCTGGGGAAAGTTGTGCCACTGCTTTGAGTTTTTGTTTTTGGGGGGAGGTTGGTGTTCTGGGTTTTCTGGGGGGAGTTGGGTGGTGTTTGGGTTTTTTTTAAATGGGAATTCATATCAGTGGAGATGATGGTTTGAAAGCTAACGGCACAACCGTAGGAGTCACAATTGCTCCCAGCCTTTTGATAGTTTAAGACAATGATTTGTTATCCAGCTATTTCAAGCTCTTTTTTTTATATATATGTATATATAAACCTATTTGTTTAATCCTAAATGGTGTTTTTTTGAAACAACGTGATGTAAACTAATGCTGTAATGCCCATTAATTTAGCTTTCACTGTGTCCAAAAAGGAAACACATTTGTATACTCTAATAATTTTGTATGTGTTAATAAAAACAAGTAATAATGCCTCTGGTTGATTCAGAAAAGTAGGTTTTTTTGATTGAAAAAACTCCTATTCTTAATTTCTATTTAAAAAAAGACCAAAACCTGAAAACACATTCCATCTGGGGAGAGCACTGTTTTGACAATGGTGCTAACTTATTCCATAATATGGAAGTGTCATTATTTTAACGAGCTATTAGAAATAATGTAATAAATGTTGCCAGATATTTTATTGATTTTTTTTTTCCTTTGTGCAGTAGGAAAGGGTAGAGATTAGTTTAAATATTGTCAACTAAACAGAAGGTAAATTGAGAACTGTGTTAAAAGGTAGATATTTGGGGCCCTATTTATACTTTGGGAAGGTTTTTTTTATTATTTCTCAAAAATCTGGACAGGATGGGAGATTTATCAGAATAGGCTAAGCCCCTAGTACAGCATATGTATCTCATGAAGCATTTGTGTAGCTCCCTCCTCCTAATGACCACAATGTGGCTGGACCAAGCCTTAACATCTCCTGTTAGTTTTAAATATGTGTGATGCTTATAGCAGTCTGTGTCACATATTCACCACAGATGTTGAAGGAAGTAACCTCACTTCAGAATAGTAGTACCATTATTTTTTGAGCTTTGCAGAGTCAGTCTGGAGAGCTGAAGCAGCTTCCACAGTTCCAGAGATGTTTACAACTGTGGTGCTGCGAGTGTGTACAGTTGGAGGCTCAAATCTTTACATGAGATTTGAACTGGGTCTGGACATGCCCACCCTTGCTTCCCAAGTACGTTGCTCCATTTTTTTATTTGTCTTTTTTTTTTTCTTCCTTAGAAAACAAGAGCCTCAAAAACTAGATCCTGTCATCTTTCTGTGACTCCAAAGGAGAAGGCACAGATGCACACTGCGGGGTAGCCACTCTGTACGTTTGAGCATCCGATTTCTCAGAATACAGGTATTTTGAATAGTTCTTGGTAGCAAGCCTATATTGCTCTGGAACAATGTCTGGAACAAGTGTCCTAGTGCTTGCAGGAGTATTTTCAGAAATCCATTTTGAATGGAGCATAAGGGATCTGTCTTTAAAGCTCGTTTTCTAAGTACTTTGAAAAGAACTGGGGCAAAACCAGAGGCTATTGTTTCTGATGAGTCTTTAGTGAAGTTATACACTGTAAAACCCAGCAGAGTGGAGAAATGAGTTCTGAAAATACCTGTCTGATGCCATGCATTGAAAAGGGAAACCTAGAAAACAGCTAAACTACTTGAACTTAGTCCAGGGATTTTTAAATAGGGTGCCAGATCCTCCTTGAAATAGGTTCACAAGCGACTTCTGATTAATCAGCAAGCATAGGTTTAAGAAATGCAGCTAAACTAAAAACACCTTTAGAGTTTGAGATACAGCCCATAAGGATTCCATTCAGCCTGCAAGCGAGTGTTCATTTCCAAACTGAAATGAGAGTTTTACTCTGAATTGGGAAGGAGACAACACTGCAATAAGAGAAGGAAGGCTGGATCAAAGAGGTTTTGTAGAGAAAGCCAGGCTACAGGTTTTGTTCAGAGTTTACTGCCAGTTCCCCCTGTTTGAGGGGAGGGCAAGACAACATATAAAAACTAAGGTTTGAAGTTGGATTAAGTATGCATAGCGTGATCAAGTCAGCTTTGAATTACTTGGAAAACTTTTGGAACACTTTTGAACGGTTTGCTGGCTAGCGAGGTTTCTACGTAACCTCAGCAAGCACGCCTCTGAAGGTAAACTGGCTTTTAATTTCCCCTTGCCTTCACCCCCAACCCCCAGCTCCCCGTGCCTTTTGGCACTCCTTGGATTACGCAAAGTTGCTAACTTGCAAATGTACTGTTGAAACATCACCCTGTTAAGCTCTAGCCCTGTCAGCTCCATTCCCTGTGAGCACCCTTCAGCTTTCATGCGTGTTCTATAAACGGTTAAAGGAAAGGTAATGCCATGAAGTGACAGTCCCTCTCTGCTGAGCACTTCATCTAGTTCTGCACTGGTTTAGAGCTTCACAGAAGCACTTGTAGCCCTTTGAATTGTGGCTCTGTAGCTCCTATCCTAAGCTGGTAAAACTGACTGTGAATTGCGGGACATTATTGCCTGCAGATGCACGTGTTTAATAAGCAGAGAAGTTGCTTTTAACTTCTGAGTGCAGTACTAAAAAAGTTTGTCAAACTTGTGCTTGCCAAAGTCTCCAGCAAAACTTTCAGCAGCTTGGATTGTAAGGAGTACCATATATCAGCATCCTTCTATCATTTTTTGAAACTTTTTTTTCCTTTCAATCAATTAAGGTTTGGTCACTAATCTTCTCGTTCTATAGTTTCTGATCATTCAGTGTAGGGATTTCCATAATGTTTCCTCTTACTACTGTTGCTGTTAGTTCCCACCTCTACCACTCCTTTGAAGCTTACAAATTTAAGTGGAGGCAACCATTGAAGACTGTACGCTTAGAGGGTAGTTGCAAGTCCAAGCAACTCTCAGGGATGGACTGTGGAAATTAGTTACCGCTTTCTGGGAAAGCACATTGATGTGCTCTTTGAAAAGAAGTCCTAGAAGAACCACGTACCAGAAAAATCCCAAATCTTCCCTGTCATATGATGAGTGAGAGAATTCAGTACTTTTGAAGCTTCCCTGTTGGCTTTCTGAGGTTTTGAGTCAGACTGTAAGTTTCTTAAGATGAGTAACATATTTCCTACTCATTCCTGGTCTGCACATCTCCTACCACAGACTAGCATTTCTCAAGCCCTGAAGCCCAGCCTGTCCTTCTCATTGAAGCATAAAGCCATAAATCCAGCCATCAGTGAAGTGGCCATCAAGAATGAACTGAAGCATCCTGGATTTTTTTTTTCACCTCTTTGTAGCTGTTCAAATTCAGAAGCAGCCAGTCTGAACACTTGTTCAGTCACAATACTAAGCTGAAATGGCCTCCTAATTTTTTTTTTTAAAAGAGGATCCTTAAATTGCAAGTAACATTTTATTGTTAAGGTCTGTACTGAGCAATTTATACTGGAGTAAAACTGAGGAGACAAAAAGATTTCGATCTGAGTTCTCATTTTAATTCCAAAATTATTATTTTTAATTATAGTCATTATACAAGCCATTTTCTAGAAAAATATTTAGCTTATCTGAATCTGCTGATTTATACGAATGACAATATGTATATGCAGTCCATGCATAAGAAATTTATGCACACGTATATCAATACATAGTATAATTGCATATGCATAGGGCTGCATATTCATATTAAACCTAATTCCACTCTCCTTTATGGTAATACAAGCTGGGAGTAATTTCAATGAATTCAGTAGAACAGGGCATATAATACTGGAGTCATGTCTCAACAAGGACCGTAAGTTGCATGTGTGAGTACATAGGCTCATGTTGGCTGCTCATAGTGCTTTGTAATTGCTGCCTTACTGAAGCAGGTCAAAATGTAATACTTTGAAAGAACAAATAAGTCTTACTGATTTCTACAGCCCCATCTCCACTATAAAGGACTAGTTTGCAGCTATATTTCTACATGACCAATGTAACAACTGTACTATGAAAAGTGTTATCTTTGCTGGTAAGAAAGCATGAGACAGATCCTGTCTAAATGTAAAACATTAAGTCTGAGTGAGCTCTACCAGTTTAGGCAAGTTCAAAATCTGGACAGATATACCGTATGACATTCTGACAGTCTCCAGCCAAAAATTCTCAAAGAGAACAAAATGTGTGAGTGTATGGCGTGTAGAGATGTGGAAGAACCAGGAGCAGCCAGAGCGACTTCAGAAGAGATGTTACGAAAACAACATAACTTACTGGAGAGGAGACATGTTATTGCTGCTCTGGGAAGCCGACATCTGCACCTCTGTGTGGGATGATATAAACCTTACGTTGGATTCCTGAGCACAGAGAGGCCACGTGCAAGTAAGAGGCATATGCAGGCTTCTGAGCCTGCGAACAGCTTGGCCAGAGCCTGCTCCCAACTAAAAACTTGCCTAATACTATCATGCGCACGGTAATGCAGGGCTTGTTAATAATACCTACAAAAACGAGGGCTTCTCTCTCATCAGAATGTCACTGTGCAGGGCTTCCAGCCTTCACTGATCTCCTGTAGACTGTGAGCCTCTCTGCCTTCCCAGGCATACGCAGGAAAAACTTATTTGGGTGAAAACACCTACTTAGGTTGCTCTTCCAGCACTTTGCCGCCTCCTGCTTTTGCAGAAAAACCGATGTCTTTACCCTCTGTATACAAAGGATGGAGTAGTTAGAGCTTCTGCTGTGCCCATCCTTACCCTTCAGCTATTTCTTCATCTCCTTCCTTTCCAGGGGAGAGGTGGGGTGGGGGGGGCACCTGGGTTTCTCTCACTGCTGTAGAGTTTGACAAAAATCTCTGGGCTCCTTTTGCCTTTTCTCAACCTTATTTTGCACAAACAAAAATGAACAAGAGCAGCAGCTGAGAATGAAACCAGGGGGCTGTAATTTGGAGAGCAACCACAGCAATGGTTCCAAAGGGTGAAGAAGTGCATGGAGCACACCGTTACTAATGCAGGTGATATTTGTGTACTTTTGCATGTTATCACCATTCACAGAGACAGAACCTTTTATGAGGGGTTCCTTCTCAAGTATTATTTGTGTCAGAAATGGAGGAGATTTTAATTTGTTGAAGGAAACAGTAGGAACTGGATGGAGGAGAACCCATTTTGGCTATGTGGGCATCAACGGCCAGTGCCAGTGAGCAGGGGGGGCGGTGATGAAGCAGAGGGAGAAAGATCGGCATGTTGAAGGTGAAAAGTAAAAATTCTGTACTTTCTGATTCACCTTCTCTGTTCCTACTCATTTCCCTGACGCGTTTGAGGCTATCCTCACTTCTTTTTCCTGGATTCTGTCAAGGTAGAAGAAAAAAACTCTTTTAAGGGCCTGGTGCGTGCTCTGAGGATGCCTTCTTCCTGCAGACGGACGAGGGGAAGGGCTATCTGTAGGTAACTGAGCTGGTCCAGAGCTCAGGACACCCGCATGAAAACTCCAAACATAACTCTAACTTTCTCTTTGATTTTAAGCAATTCAGCCCAGAACTGCAAAGGCATTTTATGCCTCAGTCAGAATAGTGGTTTCCAACATCAGAAGAGTAACTGAGATAATAAAGGCTTGGATGTATGTGGTGATATTGCAGACCATGTAAGAATCCATTTTTATGAAATCCTTTTTGTGTCCCTATGAAAGATTATTGCAAAGGTAATTTTTGGATGATATTATACTTCCCCACCCTTTAATTCCCCATTTTTAAAAAAATCTTCAGTATTCATAAGCAACCACTTCCTCCATCACCAGTCTTTTTGTTTACAGCAAAACGGCAATAAAGAGTAAATTACTCTGTTTTCAGAGCTAAAGAGCAATAGCCACTGTTTGATGTCAGCTCCCATCCCTTTTCTATTACCCTTCTGTGTGACTGAAAGAAATCAATTTGTTGTTAAACTGGCATTTATTTTGTTTTACATGTCAGGCTATTATTGCAGGGAGTGGGTGATATTATTTTTTTTTTTTTGTCATTTTCTGAGCCTGTCCTGTGAGGACATGTTCAGCACGGGTAGGTACTGCTGCACTCTGCTGGGTGGAATTAGAACTGGCCAGACCAGATTTTTCATTGCTAACCACGGGAGGTGATTCTGGTTCCACCACATGATAGATACTTGTGTAAAATCTACACATGCTTTAGAAAAATAAAATCTAAATTTTCTTTCCTCTTTTTTTCAAGAGGCTTAGAGTAGTAATATCCCAGGCAATGCCTAACTTGACACGGATTCCTTACAACACACTGTATTTTGTCTTATGAGGCTGGTTGGTTATTGTAACAGACCAAGCTCATTAAGTGTGCTGCACAAACCAACTGTTACTGCTTTAAACTTCAAGATAATAAATACACATGATCATGTTAAGTAATGGAAATATATCAAGTGTTGCACATC